GAATAGAATAAAAAATACAGAATAGAATAGAATAAAAAATACAGAATAGAATAGAATAAAAAATACAGAATAGAATAGAATAAAAAATACAGAATAGAATACAATAGAATAGCAGAGCATAGACTAGAACAGAACAGGAACAGAACAGATTTGAAAAGGATCTAGGAGGTTTTCTAGTCCTGCCCCCTGCTTAGGCAGGAAACTCTACAGCATTTCACATAAATGGCTATCTAGTTTCTTCATAAAAGCCTCCAGGGATGGAGCCCCCTACGAACTGCCCAGCTTGTGAACTCTCAAATGTCCTCTTTCTGCTCTGTATTCAAAATGGACAGTGATGTGCGTGTGTGTCTGTGTGTTTGTGTCTGGGTAAATATATATTTCCTTTGAGAGGCAGGCAACAGAATTTCATATTTAATGTGTGCCAGTGTGCACACAGTAAACAATGACAATAAAAGTTATCCTATTTTCGGGTGGCAAGCAGTTCCACTGATTAATTGTTCTCACTGTCAGGAAATTCCTCCTCAGTTCTAAGTTGCTTCTCTCCTTGATTAGTTTCCACCCATTGCTTCTTGTTCTGCACTTCTTGTTCTATACTTGTTCTACACTATACTCTTTAATTCTTTCTGGTTGCCTCTACTAACCCACCCTCAAGATCGGTTCTTATCATGTTTTGTTCTCAAACAGGAAGAGATTTCTGACACTTAAGCTCAGATCTTCTTATATTTTAATAAGATTTTTTAAAAACAACAACAACAAGAAATACAACTTTTTCAAAATCTTGTTTCCAGTCAATCTGGCCCCTTAGTCGATTTAAACACTTTCCAAAATCAACATTCTAATCAGTAACAGTATCCTCTTTTCTTCACTACCGTTTCGGTAGTGGGAGCATGCGCCGAAGATCCATGATGACGTCTGGGTGGGTGGGTGGAGCCTCGCACCACCGCTACTACCGGTTCGCCCGAACTGGCAGAATACCGCCTCTGATTCTAATCAACCTTTTACTGCTTCTTTCCAAAAGTTTGTAACTTTTCAAACTTACCTAAATCTTCTTTCACTATGGGTTGGGGGGAAATCAGCCAGTGTAATAAAACATGTCCTTCTGGAGGTCTTAATGGCCAAAAGACAATTTATAGGCCATTTCCAATAAAAGTGATTAAAAGGTGAGATAGGAGAACCCAGCATGCTTATGAAAAGCTCCCAATTGTGGCTTAGGGGGAGGGTCTCCTAACTTGGCAACTTTAAGATTTGTGGACTTCAACTCCCAGAATTCCCCAGCCAGTATTGCTGGCTAAGGAATTCTGGGAGTTGAAGTCCACAAGTCTTTAAAGTTGCCAAGTTTGGAGACCCCTTTGCTAAGGCAAAGTTCCACTTTCAACCCCAAATGTCTGCTCCATTAAAACCTAAGCCATCTTAATCTATCATTTTTCTCCAGAAGTCTTCCTGAGGCATCACTTTTCCATGCACTGATGGGTTCACATGTTGCAGCAAGGCTTGTTTTGGGGGGTGTATCTTGCAAACTCAGCTGATGAGGATCACATAAATCACAGCTCACGGTTATAGACCTTATAGGTAAAGAAGATTTCCCTCGCAAATATGTGCTTGTCGTTCCTGACTCTAGGGGGCAGTGCTCATCTCCGTTTCAAAGCCAAAGAGCCAGTGCTGTCCAAAGATGTCTCCATAGTCATATGTCCGGCATGACTAAATGCCGAAGGTGCATGGAACGCTGTTACCGTCCCACCAGAGGTGGTTCCTATTTTTCTACTTGCATTTTTACGTGCTTTCGAACTGCTCGGTTGGCAGAAGCTGGGACAAGTAACGGGAGCTCATTCTGTTACGCGGCGCTAGGGATTTGAACCGCCGACCTTTCTGAGCGACAAGCTCAGCATATTAGCCACTGAGCCACCACATCCCTACCTTAGGTTGGGTTAACTCGGGATGCTTAAGCCAAACCGAACCCAACTATGATTTTGGCTTCCTGCATTATGTGTGAATCCAGTTGGTTTGGCTCCCAATTGTTTCTGTTCTGTTTCCTGAAAGAGCCAAGGTGGCGCAGTGGTTAAATGCAGCACTGCAAGCTACTGCTAGATCAGCAGTTCAGCG